GAGAGAAGCAGGGTTTACTAGCCAGTCACAAACTTGAGAGCTTTCATTTTTTTACTTTTCAGATAAAATCAGGAACTAATCCCACAATAGAAAGGTCAGGAGAGACCAAAGAAAGACGGAAAGTGAAAGGTGGAACTTAAAAGACTCACCTTGGGTGCCGACGAGTGTATATCCATGACCCACCCCAACCTTAACCCTTTACACAGAACCTTAAACATTACACAGAGGCTTTAACTAGTTGTCATGTCCAGATGCTCTCAATAAAACATGCCTTTCACAGGACCCTGTCTGGGATAGCTTTCAGATCTTGGAAAGGAAACAGAATGTCCTTCCCAGGACAGGTGAGGCCCTCCTACTACACGGGTCCAGGTCAAAGGCCACCAGCAAGCACATCTCAGAGGCCCCTCCAGTACCTCAGCCCTTGAACCGGCTCTTTCACTCTGACCCGAGCCCCATCTGCGCTGTGCCCAGAGCAGTCAACGAGGGTTTCACAACCCAGCAGATGGCTCCTTTGATGGTTATTTGGAAGCAGATGGCACAGCCAGAATGAGGCACATGCATGAGAAAACAAATGAAGGCAATGATCCCCCACATCAGCGATGACAGTATCCAGAAGAGCGCCGTGATCCCAACTGAGATTTGGGAAATCCCCAAGACTGGTGTCTGGATGACATAGATGGTTCATATGCGCCCACGTGCAATTTAATAAGGACAAAGACCTTGGACTGGAGAGAGCGCAACAGGTAGGGCAACTACCTGGTATGTGGCTGACCCATGCTTGCTCCTTAGCAGGAGGGATCCCTGAGCACAGAGCAGGGAGTAAGCCCTGACCATAGTTGGGTGTGGCAGAATACGGAAGAGGAGGAGGAGGAAAAGGAGGAGGAGGAGGAGAAGAGGAGGAGGAGGAGAAAACGAAGAGGAGGAGGAAGAGGAGGAGAAGACGGGGAGGAGGAGGAAGAGGAGGAGGAGGAGGAAACGAGGAGGAAGAGGAGGAGGAGGAGAAGACGAGGAGGAGGGGGAGCAGAAGGAGGAGGAGGAGGAAGAGGAGGAGGAGGAGCAGATACTTCTGTCTTAGCAGATGCCTTAGCAGAAGCATCACGCTTGAGCACACAACACTGCCTCTTCATTCTTTGGGGGGTGTCTTAGGGTTTTAGGCCCAGGGACCCCTCCCAGTGATACTGGCAGATACGCTCAGGTGGTTCCAGGGCCAGGTGCTATGTGGCTGCTTGGGCCCAGCAGGGCTCATGACCCACGGGGCCCCCTTATTGGTGCTCAGCGATCCTGGGATGGCAGAGGGCCCGTGTGGTCCCCGGGGTAGAACCTGGGTAACTTCCGCATGGCCCCTGACCCCAGAGTCCCTCCCTGGTAGTTTTTCTTTTGATGGCTTTCTCTGTGTTCCGCAGAGAGTGGCCACTATCGGCTGTAACTCTGGAGGTGTTGTTGGGTGAACTTGGAAAGAGCTTCCATGTGGCTCTGCTGGCCTCTGGGTCTACAGTGTGGGACAGAGAGGGTGGCCAGATGGCCAACATCAGCAGAGGGGCCCAAGGTGCCTCTGTGGCTCCCAGGAGACCAAGAGAGGATTGGCATTTTGGGAACTGAATCTGATGGTACATACAGATACTCAGGCAGGGTGAGGAAGTAGCCTGGGAGAAAGGCCACACCCCCCCACCCCCACCCTCACCCCGCATGCTCTGTTCCAGAGTGCTGGAACAGATGGGTCCTGCTAGTTCCTGCCCGACCCGGGTGCCGGAGCCCAGGGTGGGAGCAAGGCTGCAAGAGGTTCAGAGGGTCTCTGGGAGATTCCAACCTGCTGTTATAAAACTTGGGCTACTAAATTCTGCCATGGAAAGTGAGGAAGATGTTTCTGGAAAGGGGCTTGGAGAGAAGCACAGGGGGCCAGACCATTCCCTGGCGCCCCGAGGCCCCCAGCATGGGCTCCAGGTGCGGCCTCACCCCTCTCCTCCTGCCCCTCAAAAAAAGAAAGAAAGAAAGAAAGAAAGAAAGAAAGAAAGAAAGAAAGAAAGAAAGAAAGAAAGGGCTTAAGCAATAGCACAGCGGGTAGGCCGTTTGCCTTGCACGCAGCCGACCGGGTTCGATTCCCAGCATCCCATATGGTCCCCTGAGCACTGCCAAGGGTGATTCCTGAGCACAGAGGCAGGAGTAACCCCTGTGCGTTGCAGGTTGTGACCCAAAAAGGAAAAAAAGGAAGGAAGGAAAAGAAAAAAGAAAATAAGATGTTTCAGTGGGGGTATGGTGCCGCCAGTAGGTCAATCTGTACCTGTGAGGCAACTGCATCAGCAGCCTGATGGCGCCTTCAGACTTCCAGATACCCCAAAATTGCTGCTGTGCCTTTGGCCAGACCCCAAAACCTTGGGGCAAAGTTTACCAAGAAAGTAAACAGCCAAAAGTTAGACATGTGGGAAACACACCCACAAACCACCTCCGGCTCAGCTATATAATTGGAGGCAAGGCCTCTCTGGTTCCTGATTGAACTGCTTAATGGCCATGATCCCAGAGACTCAGAAACGAATCTTGGAAACCAGCGGCATTAGGTAGAAATGCGTCCGGTCCCTGCAGTAGGTTACCGGTGCTGGGCCAACCCAGGTGGGAATAGGTTTTGTGCCTTGGCCTGTTCCCCCTGGCGGCCCAGTGGCTGCCATCCTTCAGAGGCCACTGGATAGTCAAGTCAAGTTTGGGCCCCCAGTGACGAGACACACAGGGCCTCACGGGATGGGGGTGGAACCGAGCTTGTCCTCCCCACCCCAACAAGACCTCAAGTCATCAGCCATGAATGGCCTCTCTGGCTCCTGATCCAGCTGCTTAATGGCCATGATCCCAGAGACTCAGAAACAAATCTCGAAACCCAGTGGCTTTCGGCAGAAATGCGTCCGGACCCCACAGCACGTTACTGTCACGGGGCCACCCCAGGGAGGAAAGGGTGTTGTCACTCCACCTGCTCCCTCTTGGTGGCTTGGTGGCCGTCATCCTTCAGAGGCCATTGGACAGTCAGGCCTGGGCCGGCAGTGACGAAACTTGTTAGGCCTCACGGGATGGGCGGGGAGCCGGGCCTGTCCTCCCCTCCCTAACGAGACCCCAAGTTATCGCTCACAAATGGCCTCTCTGGCTCCTGATCAAGCTGCTTAACGGGCCTTGATCCCAGAGACTCAGAAACAAATCTCGAAAACCAGCAGCTTTTGGCAGAAATGTGTCCGGACCCTGCAGTAGGTTACTGTCGCCGGGCCACCCCAGGGGGGAAAGGGTGCTGTCCCTCCGCCTGTTTCCCCCTGGCGGCTCGGTGGCCGCCATCCTCCAGAGGCCATTGGAAAGTCAAGCTTGGGCCTGCAGTGACGAAACTTGTTGGGCTTCACGGTATGGGGTGGAGCCAGGCCTGTTCTCCCCACCCCAATGAGACCACAAGTCATCGCCCATGAATGGCCTCTCTGGCTCCTGATCAAGCAGCTCAACGGCCATGATCCCAGAGACTCAGGAGCAGATCTAGAAACCCAGTGGCTTTTGGCAGAAATCCCTCCAGATTTAAGTGTTAAAATTTCGGAATTTCAAAATCACATGGCCCTACTGCAGCCACGCGACATCATATGTTATTCATAAACAGCAATAGAACACAAATTGTCTATTGTTGCCTTTTCAGCATATCTGAGTGTTGGGGTAAAATCTCAAATAATAATGGTGGGTCTGGTGTCGAAATATTGAATGTGATCAAAGTAGAGAGAGAGTAATGTAGAAATCATCTGCCCCACAGGTAGGGGAAGGGTGTGGAGTGGGGGTATACTGGCGTTTTGTGGGGTGGAGAATGGGCACTGGTGAAGGTACGGGTGTTTCATTGTATGACCGAAACTTAGACCCAAAAGCTTTGTAACTGCTCTCACAGTGATTCAATAAATAAAATTATAAAAAATGAAAAAAAAAAAGATGTTTCGGAAAAATTGAATTAGTTCATCTTAGAACCATGCTAATTAATTCTAAAATGCAGTGTTAGCAGCTGGAGAGAGAGTACAGTGGGGGTGGCACTTGCCTTGCTTGGGGGCTTGATGGGTTTGATCAGGGGCACTGCACATGGTCCCCCAACCCCACTGTCACTGTCACTGTCCTCCCGTTTTTCATCCATTTGCTCGAGCGGCCCCAGTAACCTCTCCATTGTGAGACTTGATACTGTGTTTGGCATATTGAATACGCCATGGGGAGCTTGCCAGGCTCTGCTGTGCGGGCGGGATTCTCTCAGTAGCTTGCCGGGTTCTCCGAGAGGGACGAACCGGGGTCGGCCGCCTGCAAAGCAAATGCCCTACCCGCTGTGCTATTGCTCCAGCCCCAAACCCCACGAGGAGAATTTTTTTTAAAGATTTTTTTTTTTTTGTAGAATCACTGTGAGATAGACCCTTACAAAGCTGTTTATGATTAGGTTTTATCCACACTGTGTTCCAACACCCATCCCTCCATCCTCAAACGTTCCCCATCACCCAAGTTTCCCTCCCATCACCCCCCACCCCCCACCCCTGGGAACTTTTTTAATGCAGTGTTAATTTTTTTTTTTAAATCATGTCATTTTTCTTTTCTTTTTGGGTCACACCCAGCCATGTTCAGGGGTTCCTTCCTCCTGGCTCTGCACTCAGGAATTACTCCTGGCTGCGGTGCTTGGGGGGGGTACCATATGGGGTGCCGGGAATCGAACCCAGGTCGGCTGCGTGCAAGGAAGATGCCTTACCCGCTGTGCTATCACTCCAGCCCCCAAATCATGTCATTTCTAAATTTTCTTTTTTTAATGGATTAACCAGCTCAGCAAGGGGAACTTAAAACATTGGGGGGGGGGGGGGGTTGGGGGGAGTGTACTTGAAATGTGAAAGCGTTGGATATTTCCACGAGCCGAGCTTTCAACGCAACGGCTCTCGCCTCCCAGAAACCCTCCACGTCCCGTCTGAACGCAGCAGCCCGGGGCCGGCGCTGGGGCCGCGGGAGGGCGAGTTCGGGGCCAGAAGATCCATTTCTCTTCGCCAAAGGCCCGGAAAAGGATCCCCCCCCAGGGCAGGAAGTTTTATCCACGATGCCCGCAGCCCCAGCAAAGGCCCGGGGGTGACTCCCTGGGCCCGGGAACTTCCCCGTCCGGCACGAGCCGCACACGCGCCGGGACGCGCCGTCCGAGCCGGGAAATGGGCCGGCGGCGCCCGCGGTTCCTGTGGCTTCTGTGGTTTCTGTGGCTTCTGCAGCTCCAGCCCAGCGCGACCGCAAAGGGGCGTCCGCCGCGTGAGTCGGGGGGTCGGCGGGCGGCGGGGCGCGCGGCCAGGGCGGAAAACGATCGACAGCCCCTGGGGTGTTGGAGGCTGCGGGAGTCGGCTCGGTTGGGGGGGGGGGGGGGGGACCGGGTCAGGCCCGGGCATTGTCCCTTCCCGGAAGGGGACCCCGGACACTTAGGGTGCAGATGGGGTTCTGGGGCGGCTCGTCTCTCTCTGGACCTTGCCCCTTCCCAGTCGAACCCCGCTGCTGCTCCGAGGCTTCCGAGGGGCATCCACAACCGCCCACTCCCCTCCCCCTCAAAGCGACGCCTTAATCTTTGCATTTGAAGTGGATTGCGGGGTGACATTATGTAAGTTTCAGGTGATCGCAGCTGACAATCAAACTATGCGTCTCCCGCTGTCCTGGTGAACGGTCCCACCCGGCCCGGGACGAGGGTCGCTTGCAAATAGGGTCGCTTTCTCTGTAATGCAGGGGCAGGGGTAGGCCGGGGGGGGGGGGGGGGGGGGAGGGGTCCCTGGATTGCAATCTCAGTTTCCAGTTTCTTCTGTTGTGGAAACGAACGGTCCCCCTCCCCCCGTCGGCCCCAAACGGGAAGTGCTTTGCGCTGCTGAAGGCGACCTTGGCCCGAACGCCCCGAACTGTTTCCACACCAGTGGCAAAGGGTTGGAGCAACTCACAGCCCAGGGCCTCGGCCTCCTGCTGGGGGCTGTGCCAGGTTGCCGAGATTCTCTCCGTGTCGCTAAGAGCTTTGGGACATCTGGAACGGGTCTTTTTACCCAAAGATGCAAAGTGAAAGATTACTTAGGTCTTTGCCCTGAAGCAGTTAAAAAGGAAAAAAAAAAAGAATAAAGCAAGGAACAGGATAGCGAGTTCAGAAAAGATTTTATGTAAGAGAAGGGAAAGGAGGAAGTCTGGGAAGGGGCTGGAGACAAAATCGCAGGAGAGTCGCTTAAGCTGTACCGGGGTTCCATCCTGACACCACCTAAGGTCTCCCCAGTCTGACCAGAAGTGATTCCTGAGCACTAAGGCAGGAGTAGGCCCTGAGCACCACCAAAAACAAAAAACAAAACAAAAGACAGGGAAGCCCCCGGATGATGGGGGTGGTCTCCTTAATCAGGGTTCAGAAGAAACTTTTCCCCTTTTATCTCCTTTTAACAGGGGGGAGCACTTCTTATGGAGCCTGCAGCAGGCAGGTAGGCAAGTTGAACAAGGGCTAGGACGTTAAGATGGTCTTATTCTGCTGTCTGGTCATCTTGGTTGTCCAGGTCACCAGGCACATCCTGGGCCCGCCCTTGTGACATTCCATATCAGTCCCTCCTTAGTGCCACAGTCCTGTCTGTCTCCTTTGAGCCATTTTTCTGAGAGGTTCTTCTTTTATTTATTTATTTATTTATTTTTGTTTGGGGGCCACACCCAGCAGTGTTCAGAGGTTATTTCTGGCTCTGCACTTAGGAATCGTTCCTTGGCAATGCTTGGCAGATCATATGTGGCACTGGTGATCGAACCCAGGTCTGTCCCGTATAGGACAAACACCCTACTTACCCGTTGTGCTATTGTTCGGGCCCTTCGCTATTAAATGGTCAGTGAGTGTGTACGGCATGGTGCTCAGTGTGTAGTGTCACCACACACTCAGCAACACCATCTGGAGGGACGTTTTTCTGTGTTTTCACACTTCCTGGTTGAGTGTTCAATACTAACTTCCATCGGTGGTCACCTGGGTAACTTCCATCAGTAGTAGCCTGGGTAAATTTCAGCACCCATAACCTTCAGGACTGCTAACTTTCATCAGTAGTAACTTTTATCACTGGCAACTTCCATCTCTAATAACTTTCAGCAGTGGTGACTTCCATCACTGGTAGCTTTCAGCACTGGTAACTTTCAGCAGTGGTGACTGTCATCAGTGGTGACTGCTTCACCGGTTGTGAGTTCTAGTGTGGGTGGTTTAGGTGGCTGAAAACTGTTCCCCGGCCCATCATATCGAGGAATGGATGAAGGAATGGGGCCACAGGCTGCGTGGTAATCTGTTGCCATTTATTCAAATTTCTCACCAGGACCCTCCTTTTGGGATGTTAGGAACTAAGGGCAATTGAGGTTTGAATTCAATAAATATGACAGATACCCAGGAGTAAGTATTCAGCGTCGATTAACTCCCGTGTTAAAAAAGCATAGCATTAACTGTCTTCCTGTGTCTATACAAAAAGGACATTGCACTAAAACAAACTATGCAAAGGACATAAAGGAAAGAGAAAAGCAATATTTGCACACACAAAAATCCAAAGCCCTCAGAAGAATTGACTTTACAAGTCACAGGGTCTGATTTGTGGATAAAAGTGATTAACAGATAGGGGGGAAAGAGCACAAAGGAGAGGTTAAAGGTAAACACAGAGGACTGGGAGTGCCTGATGGAATTGGGAGTGTCTCAGGAGCACTGTGTTGTGAATAACTCAATAAACCTAAGCTCCCTGCCAGAGAGAGAAAGGACAACCCAATGTTATCCAACAACTGGTAACTTCTGTCACTGGTAACTTCCCTTACTGGAACTTTCATCAGTGGAAAAGCAAAACTTTCATCACTGGTAACTTCCATCACTAGAAACTTTCAGCACTGATAACTTTCAGCAGTGGTGACTGCCCTCAGTGGTAACTGCCATCTCTGGTAACTCCCATCCATGAGAACTTCTATCACTGATAACTGCCATCAGTGGTAACTGCCATCACTGGTAACTGCCATACTGGTGACTTTCAGCAGTGGTGATTGCCCTCAGTGGTAACTGCCCTCAGTGATAACTGCCCTCAGTGGTAACCGCCCTCAGTGGTAACTGTGCTCAGTGGCAATAGCCCTCAGTGGCACCTTCTGTCACTGTAACTTTCATCACTGATTCCTGCTCCAGGCCTTACAGAGGCAGTTCTCAACAGCCTCAGTGCAGAGAGAACTAAGCCAGGGAGTAGGATGTGGAGCAAGCAGTCCGTTCACCCAGTCACAGGCAGAGTGCCAGGAGTGCAGGGGGCCGCTGGTGATTTTGCTTCTGGGTGTCTGGACTGTGCCGGTGGTGACAGGAACTAGAGAACAAATGGGCAGAGGACACCGGGTCACTTGGGGAAGGAGCGTGGAACCAGGACAAAGGGCCACACCTCTCAGAAGAAACCGCTCCCCGAGGTGCTGACTGGGCCTGGCAGGTTGAGTTAGAGGCAGTTTCTCCACTTCAGTACGATGACTGAGGTTCTCACGGGAAGTTTAGCCACGTCCCTGAGCTCTTCCTGGCTAATAGCACACTCCTAGTTGTGGCAAACAGAGATGCCTCCAGGCAGTGACACATGCCCTCCGGGCAAACATGGTTGAGGGGACTGAAAGGTAAGTAGAGAACAAAAGGTCCTTATCATGCTTACAACTGTGGCTGCGAATCCCCTTGACCACATCTGGTACTCTAATGTCTCCTGAGCACTGAGCTAGGAGTATTTCCATCAGCACCATTTGGGTGGACCATACCATGCAAAAATAAATAAATAGGCAAACAGAAATAAAAGACGCATTGGCGGAAGGACCGGCTGTGGTAGTGGCCAAGAGTGAGCCCTGGGATGAGCCAGGTGCCCCCAGGCAAGGGCTCCTGTGGTCTGGCAGGCCCGGAAGTCACGTGCTCTACATGACAAGGATGATTCCAGCTGCTCTGCGAGTAGCAGAATGAAAGAAGCAAAAAGGAGCTGGGGCAATAGGACAGTGGGTAGGACACTTGCCTCGCTCATGGCCAACAAAGGTTTGATCCCTGGAGCCCCGTATGGTCCCCTAACAGTAGGTCCTAAGCACAGGTGAGTGTGACCCCAAAACATTAACTCTCCCCCCACCCCCCATCTCCCAAAAAGAAGCAACAGTGAAAACAGGGACAGGACCAGAAGCAGTGACATTGTGCAGGAAGGCAGTGATGATCTAGGCCAGTGGGAGCCCGGAACCGGGAGACAGCCTTGCGTTTCCCAGCTGGAGTTGGTAAGATGTTTCGGAAGCATCTCTGGGTTGTGAGAAGGAAAGAGGAGCGCCAAAGGTGCCTCTGGCAATGGTTTTATTTTTTAATTTTGTTTTTCTCTGAGCAACTGGGTAATGGGTGATATCATCTCTAAGATGGTGTAAGCGGAGAAAATAGCAGTTTAGTGAAAGGAGATGCTATTTGGGGTTTGTTAGCTTTGGGAGTCCGCTCAGACTTCTAACCGGGGGTGAGCACTACAGGAGGGTGAGTGGAAAAGTCTAGAATTCAGCGTCACGGGTCCAAATGTAGGAGCTGCATCATCCCAGCACTGCAGAAGCTAGATACTTGCTTTTCTTCATCCCAACAAGTAACTACTAAGTGCCTACTGTGTGCCTTGCTCTGCGCATTGGGAGGGTTCTCTAGTGGATGGGAAGTTCTTCGCTTGTGACTTTTATCACTGGTGATGGCCTTAGTAACTTGCCAAGTTTCTGAGGCCTTCCAGCATTTAATTTAATTGTATTTATTTGCTTTGGACTGGAGCCATAGAACAGCGGGTAGGGCATTTGCCTCGCACGAGGTGAAACCTGGGTTTAATTCCTCCGCCCCTCTCGGAGAGCCTGGCAAGCTACCGAGAGTATCCTGCCCGCACGGCCAAGCCTGTTAAGCTCCCTGTGACGTATTCGATATGCCAAAAACAGTAACAAGTCTCACAATGGAGATGTTATTGGTGCCCGCTCGAGCAAATCTATGAACAACGGGAGGACAGTTCTACAGTGCTACAGTGCTATTTTGCTTTAGGGGTCACACCTGGCAGTGCTCAGGGGCTACTCCTGACTCTGCACTCAGGAATTAGTCCTGGCAGTGCCCAGGGGACCATATCGGATGCGCAAATTGAACCCATGTTGGCAGCTGCACCCTCCACCCAACTTCCAGAATTTTAGAGCATCCTTTTCACACGGGAAAGTGTTTGAAGACAAAAGTCAGAGGGGACACCCCCGAGCCATTTTCTCTGACCTTGGGCCTTGTGAACACTGAGCACCAACTCCTGAGCCCAACTACAGCAGCCTGGGCATCTCCTAGAGTCTGTTGCTTCCAGGAGAGACTGCCCTTATCATGGGACAGAGGCTGGGGGGCAGTGAGGGTGTGACAGCCACACGGGGGGTGGGGGGGGTTGGCTGGAAGAGTAGGTGCAAGAGAGAGCAGATTCAGTGGTCATGTGGCAGAGAAGCTCTGCCGGTCACTTTTCCTAGTGTGGCCATAGTGGTGGGGAGAAGGGACCCACTTGGGAAGTTGGTTCAGAAAGTGTGTGTGGCCCCCCTGTTAGTTCTCGATTGAGTGATAAGTCGGGGTCACAGAGATAACCAAAGCGTGTGGAATGTTGAAGCACGGAGGGCCAAAGCTCACTCAGGCCATTTGGCTCTGTTCGGCTTTTGCAGGCCCCTTTTATTGGGTTAACAATCAAAATATCTAACATGCCTCGGAGCACATAAGATCAAAATACACAATATCAAAACACCTTAAAATACATATTATTTTGTAGCCTAATGACGCCCAAAGTTCCTGATAAAGCAAATCAGATCACCTTGTAGATCTTTACATCCCACTTCCCATATATTCCACATCAAAATCTATAGAAACTTACACAATAGCCCAATAAGGTATTTATATCACTTTCATCCAATCATAATACAGTTAATCTATAACAAAAAGCGCCTGTGTTGGGACATTCTGACCCCAAACCAGCTCACTCAGAGTTCCTATCTGTTTGCAGCTATGACACGGCCTTGTTTGCAAGGCAATGTTCCCAGAACTGCCTCATGACTCTGGTCAGGCTCCAGCACCCCACTGCACCCCAAAGATACTGTCATTTTTTTCCCCCAGGATCACACACTCTGCACTACCTCTTCATGGGTGCCTCTGAATGGGACCTCGGGCTGTCCCTGTTTGAGGCGCTGGGCTATGTGGATGACCAGCTGTTCGTGGCCTACAAACACGAGAGTCGCCGGGCAGAGCCACGCGCCCAGTGGATCTCGAAGGCCACCACGAGCTCACTGTGGCTGACGCTGAGTCAGAGCCTGAAAGGGTGGGACCATATGTTCATCGTGGACTTCTGGACCATCATGGACAACTACAACCACAGCAAGGGTACTTGGAGGGGCTGGCGCGCTGGGGTTTGGGATCCTCGGCACCAGGGAGGAGGGTCAGACGTGGCTTCGGGAAATCCGTGACTTCCTGCCTGGGGATGGTGAAACTTGTGCCTTCCCTTTCAGCAACGAAGCTGGGGGTGTTGGCGGAGTCCCACACCCTGCAGGTGATGCTGGGCTGTGAGGTGGGGGAGGACAACAGCACCACGGGCTTCTGGAAGTATGGGTACGACGGGCAGGACCACCTTGACTTCCGCCCCGAAACACTGGACTGGAGAGCTGCCGAGCCCAGGGCCCAGGCCACCAAGCTGGAGTGGGAAGTGACCAAGATCCGGGCCAAGCAGAACAGGGCCTACCTGGAGAGAGACTGCCCCGAGCAGCTGCGCCAGCTGCTGGAACTGGGGCGACGGGCCTTGGAGCGGCAAGGTATGGTGGGAGCAGACCCCCCGCGAGGTCTCTGGCTGGACGGTCACAGGGGTGTGTGTGTGGGGGCGGGGGGGGGGGAGGCAGAGGGGAGCGTATATCTCTCTGGGGAAGATGTGAGCCTTCCACCTTGAGGTCTCACTCCCCTAACTGAGAAGCCTGACAGGACAGAAGACATGGCTCTTTCTTTCTGGGCCTCAGCCAGGGATGCTCAGGGGTTACTGCTGGCTCTGCACTCAGGAATTACTCCTGGCGGTGCTCAGGGGACCATATGGGATGCTGGGGATCAAATCTCGGTCAACTGCATGCAAGGCAAATGCCCTACCCGCTGTACTATTGCTCCGGCCTTCTCTTCCTTTCTTTCTTCCTTCCTTTCTTCTTTCTTTCTTTCTTTCTTTCTTTCTTTCTTTCTTTCTTTCTTTTCCTTCCTTCCTTCCTTCCTTCCTTCCTTCCTTTTTTCTTCCTGCCTTCCTTTCTTTCCCTTCGCGGTTAAAGGAGGGATCTGAGATTATGTCTGATTTATCCAAGGACCGTGTGTATTTCTATACCTTTTAGGAGTTCAGGCTTTCCCCATGATAGCCAGGGCAAGAAATGGCCCAGTAAGGAAGCTAAGAAAGTCGCAGGGAAGTCAAGGGTCCTGGTCACAGAACACGGCAGTGACCCTGAGGTCTCGCTCTCTTACAAGGTCCTTTTGTTTTTGACAAGACAATGGTTTAAAATGTTGTAGAATTCCAGGAGTTCTGTTTCATCCTGTATATATGCAGAACTGTCACCACCACTCCTGTCTTCAATGTGCGGTGACAAAAGGCCTTTCTACATATTCCTCCAAACCTGTTCCCTTTCCTTTGCTAACCACCATGACTTTGTTTTTTGTGGGTTTTTTGTTTGTTTGTTTGTTTGTTTGCTTTTTGGGTCACACCTGGCGATGCTCAGGGGTTACTCCTGTCTCTGCGCTCAGGAATTACTGCTGGCGGTGCTCAGGGAACCATATGGGATGCTGGGGATTGAACACCTGTTGGCTGCATGCAAGGAAAACACCCTCTCCACTGTACTCCTCCAGCCCCACCACCATGGGTTTTTTTGTTTGTTTTGTGTTTGTTTGTTTTTTGCTTTTTGGGTCACACCCAGCGATACTCAGGGGCTACTCCTAGCTCTGCACTCAGGAATTACTCCTGGCAGTGCTTAGGGGACGGGGACCATATGGGAAGCCGGAGATTGAACCTGGGCCGGACGCGTGCAAGGCAAACGTCCTACCTGCTGTACTATCACTCTGGCCCCCACCACCATGGTTTTTATTGATGCTAGAAATCGAGGGTTTTTTTTTTTTTTTGCATTTTGTCAGTTTGTTTGCTTTAGTAATTTATATTATACACACGAATGAAGCCATTCAACAATCTTTTACTTCCTTACATATTTCACTTGACACCTCACCATCCATTTATTTGGTCCCAAAGGGCATTGGTTTACCTTGTTTGGTAGTGGGGAAGGGAGTCAGGGTTTGGGAGTCAAACCTGAAGGTGCTCAGGAGTACTCTTGGCTCTGTGCTCAGGAATGACTCCTGGCAGTGCTCAGGGGACCACATGTGCTGTGGAGGATTTGAACCAGTGTCAACTGGTAGGCAAATGGTTGATGCCTTGTTTTTGGCAGTTGAGTCAGATCCCGGAACCGCGTGACATCTTATCAGAACTTTTTTTTATGACATCTTATTGTCTCATTACTACTTTGGACAAACTTGCAGGTTATCGAATGTAGCCTGCCCACAGAGCAGAGTCTGGCAAACTCCCCGTGGCATACCAAATATGCCAAATACCAGTAACAATGATGGGTCTCATTCTCCTAAAGAGCCGTGAATATAATCTCAGGGCTAGGATGAAAGAGACGTTACTGGGGCCTGCTCGAGGCAATCGACGAATAACAGGATGATGAAATGAAATGAAAAAATGAGTCACGACCATCCTGTTGTTTGTCAATTGCCTCGAGCAGGCCCCAGTAACGGCTCCTTCATCCTAGCCTGGAGATTTTTTTTTTTAAAGTGCCATATTCAAGGCTCTTTCAGGGTTAGGAGAATGAGATCCATCATTGTTACTGGTATTTGGCATATTGGGTCGCCACGGGGAGTTTGCCAGACTCTGCCGTGTGGGCAGGTTGCATTCGGTAGCCTGCCACTTTGTCCAAAGTAGGAATGAGATAATAAGATGTTGCGCTTCTGGGAGCTGGGTTTATAGTCTCTGGGTCTTGGCCGTTGATGGGATTACATGGCACCAGGGGGCCAGTTGGTGGGTGTGACCCCTGCCTACTGGAATATGGAGGATCTGGGTGGAGGATGCTCAGCCCCGATCCGAGCAGGCTTGGAGATCTCAGCCCCGGGACCCACATGCCTTTGTTCCTCTGCCGGTACCTTCATGTGTGTGGAGAGTGGTCTCAGCATGGTGGTGGCTGGTTCTGGAAGCAATTGAGTCATGTACTATAAACACTAGGATGCGGATGACTTTTTTTTTTTCTTTTTGGGTCACACCCGGCGATGCACAGTGATTACTCTTGGCTCATGCACTCAGGAGTTACTCCTGGAGATGCTCGGGGGACCATATGGGATGCTGAGAATCTAACCTAGGTCAGCTGCATGCAAGGCAAACGCCCTACCCGCTGTGCTATTGCTCCAGCCCCCAAGATGCGGATAACTTTAAAATAGCATTTTCATATCCCCTGGATGTGAAAGTATATGAGGAATATGAAAGCCCGTATGAAAGCACTCAGTGATGCTCAGGGCTTACTCCTGGCTGTGCTCAGGGCTCACTACTGTCAGTGCTCAGGAGACCCTATGGATGGAGTGCTGGGATTAAACCCAGGTGGGCCACATGGAAGCTAAGTACCCAACCCGCTGTGCTACAACTCCAGCCCCCATGAAAGGGCCTTTCTTGCAGGAATACTTGGGTTGAAGGAGCTGAAATTGCTGATGGCCTGAATTCAGTCAGAAACTGTCATTTTATGGGACTGAGCTTAATGTCAGTCACCAAGGGCAGAAGACACCGATGGCAGTTGCAGGGGCCGGGTGGGACAGGGCAGCTGGCTGATGGGACCGCCTATTCCAAGTGACTCCCCGCCCGAGACAATCTTGGAACACGTGTGGGGACCCAGTGTTTTATCCAGAGTGGGCCTTGACTAGGCGGCGAATCTCCTTCCTGTAACTAGAGAGGAAGTGAAAGTTCTGGCTTCCGGGGACAGAAGTTGCATTCTCCATCCTCCTCCTTCCTTCCCGTGCAGTGGCACCTGCAGTGAAAGTGACTCGGCACATAGCCCCTGCCACGACCACTCTGTGGTGTCAGGCTCGGAGCTTCTACCCCCCGAACATCACCATCAAGTGGCTGAAGGACAGGAAGTTGCTGGATGCCCAGGACAGCGAGCTTCAGGACGTGCTGCCCAGCGGGGACGGGACCTACCAGGGCCGGGTGGCTTTGGCTGTGCCCCTGGGGGAGGAGCAGAGATACTCCTGCCAGGTGGAGCACCCAGGCCTGGGCCAGCCCCTGGCTGCCTCCTGGGGTACGGCTGAGAATCCGCAGTGGGTGGCCGGGAGTGGTCCCCCATGCTGCCCAGGCTGGGGCACAGTTTTGAGTGTTAACCCACTTCCGCTGCTTTAGAGCCCTCGCCTTCGAGTGCCCTGGTCATTGGAGTCACCAGTGCCATCGCTGTTTGCGTCATCATCTTCTTCCTCGGCGTTCTGTTCAGAGTCTCGAGGAAGAGGCAGACTTCGAGTGAGTAAAAGGCGTTCCTGAGGGCCTCGCCCCCCCCCCCCCACTGCCCATCTCCCGCTGGAAGTGGGCCCTGCTGCCCACGAGACGCCCTCTCTTTGCCCGTTTTGTTGGGAGCACTGCACCTGCCCACAGCAGGGAAGTTGGAGGGAAGCCCCCACTTCCACAGGCATCTTTAGCTGACCTTGAAGCAATTAGGATGCCTTGAGATGAGGTTGAGGCAGAGGGGCTGCCTCCGAGTGGAAGGGGTCTTAGGAGAGGGCACAGAATTGAAGGGGCCTTAGGAGGGGCAGAGAATGGAAGGGGTCCTGGGAGGTGAGATGCTTCTGGAGCCTCATCCTTCTGGAGCCTGTCCGCTCATCACTTACCAATCCTGCTTTTATACCCCCCCTGGACACATACCCCCCTATGGTGTGGGATAGAAGGGAAACAGATGGGTTGTGTGCAGAGGGGTGAGAAGGGGAGCTGTGGGCATCTGGGTGTGGGCACCGAGAGCCGAGGCAAGGAGAGCACAGAAGGAGATGGGAGAAAGCTGGTCGGGAGACCCCAGCACCTGACCCTTCCCCCCCCACCTGAGCTCCACGGGGAGGGAGTGGTGGGTGGGTGCGGGGATGGGAGAGGCGTGGGACAGGGAGAAGGCAAGATGCTGCCTCCATCCTGACGCCTCCCCGGTCTGCCTCTCCAGGAGGAGCCCTGGGGGACTACGTCTTAACTGAATGTGAATGAGCTGGAGGAGGAGCCGGACTCAGGGAGGGAGGGATGCCTGAGAGCAGCAAGCTTCAGAGGCACACGGAACAGCGGAAACGCCATTGAACTTTCCACCATCCTCATTCACTCTCAAGACACTTTGCCTGCGCTGGAGAGACAGTACAGCGGGTAGGGCACTTGCCCTGCACACAGCTAACCCGGGTTTGAACCCCGGCACCTCGTGTGGTTCCCTGATCACTCCTCCACACGTGCTCCTTGAGCCCAGAGATGGGACTTAGCCCTGAGCATGGCCACATGTGGCTGCCAAGCCAACCGAACACTTTCCCCACGTAGCCACTTGTTTGCTTCTGTGGTACCAGGGATGCAACCCAAGGCCTCACACATATTCGCCCCACCCTCCCTACAGCTTCCGGGTCCCTGTATCCTCAGACATCCCAGCCCTCAAAGACAGCCCTCAAAGACCCAACTCTCAGGACTGTCTTCATTTCCCACATTGTCCCAGCCCATATGCGCATCTGTCCTCTCATCTCCCTTTGGAAGAGGGCTCCGGGGGATTGCAGTGTTTTTAAACGTCTAAGGGAGGCCTTTGCTCTCAGACAAGCTCGGATGGCTCCCTCAGCCCCGCACACACATCCAGGCCTTTCTTGGGCTGTTCAAGTTTCCTTTAGACCTGTGATTCAGTAATTCAAGGTCCGTGGGTGTCTCCAGCTAGCGGAGGCTAGCCTGGTCGCTGCCCCCATTAACCACCCCCACCTCCCATCTCCCTGTGCCCACCCATGGGTGTCTGTGTAAATCAGTCCAAAAAATGGGGGAAGCGTCTGGAGAAGGAATGTCTTCTTCTAAGTTTCTCAGTCACCCTGGAGTTTTCCTCAGATTAACAACACCTACATTTATGCTTCTCTGTATGCCCAGCTTAAATGTTCTATTTGCTTTCTCCTTGTTCCAGTTATGGAAAACAAGACAAAACAAAACAGAAAACGAGGCAAGGGCTGGAGAGATAATACAGCAGGTAAGGTGTTTGTCTTGCACACGGCCAACCTGGATTCATTGTGGTCCCCTGATCTCAGAGGCAGGAGTAAGCCCCGAGCACCGCCAGGTGCGATCCCAAACCCAAAAATATTAAAAAAAAAAAAGTTGATTTTGTTAATGTGGCTGCAACTTAGAAAAATAGCGCTTATTTGGTAACAAATTCAGTTCTGATCATCAACTAATAAAGGCCCTCCCATTGATCATCGATTTGCTCGAGCGGGCCCAGTAACGTCTCCATTGGAGACTTTGTTGTTACTGTGTCTGGCATATCGAATACTCTCGGTAGCTTGCCGGGCTCTCGGAGAGGGGCGGAGGAATCGAACTCGGGTCGGCCATGTTGGCTGCGTGCAAGGCAGACGCCCTACCCGCTGTGCTATCGCTCCAGCTGATCATCAAAAATTCAGTTCTGATCATCATCATCTTCATCACATGGAATTTATTTTTGGGGTAGGGACAGTGGACACTCAGCTATACTTGGGCCTTGTTTGGCTCAGGGGACCACTAGGTGCTAAAAATCAAACCAAGGGTGTCACTCGCAAGGCATAAACTCTACGACAGGGTCACATCCCCAGCCACAGTAGGAAGGTCTTGAGGTAGATACCATTGGTCTCATTTGTCTCCATTGTTTTTCTTTTTCTTTTCGGGTCACACCTGGCAATGCACAGGGGTTACTCCTGGCTTTGCACTCAGGAATTACTCCTGGCGGTGCTCAGGAGACCATATGGGATGCTGGGAATCGACCCGGGTTGGCCGCGTGCAAGGCAAACACCCTACTCACTGTACTATCGCTCCAGCCCCTTGGTTGTATTTTGGATGAAGGTATTGAGAGCCTCAGTTTGTCAGGGATCAAGACACGGTTAAGCTGTGGGTCTGGTTTTTGACCATACATGCTTCCAGCCCCTGGAGGAAACGGAGAAGGGAGACGACGGCTCTGCTTTGCTGGTCCGCTGTCTTCTAGCTCGACTCCTGTGGAAAAGGATCAGAATACATCTCCCTGTGCATCTGAGGCCAGAGGCCAGCACTGTGGCTAGTGAGATGGGTTGGATTAGTCACTGTGTCAGAACCAGAGGGTGCCCCCTCCACTGTGCCACCACTCGCCCTATAAACTGGAGCAACTGTGTTAGAGATGATAAGACACATTTCCATAGACTGCAGGATATTCCATGGATTCCCAGGGCCCTTGGGATCTGGTTCTCATCTCCAGCTGGGTACCTTCCAAAAAGAAAAAAAAATTAAGCAAATCACTCAGGAATCCCTGGATTCTGGGAAAGAAATTCATTTGACATTCCAAAGAAGACTAACAACTGACCCTTGTGCTTCTGCTGCTGCAAACTGGAACAAGTCATCTGGGAGGACAAGGAAATCCGGAGACCAACTGACTCTAGTGCTCATCTGGTATATACTATTGGTTCCGGGAGGTTGCAGCCATTTTCTTCTAAATCTTTTGTTCTGGTAACAAAAGTCAAGTGACTAAAAGGAACGTAACTGGTGTTTATGTAGAAAAGTTGAAAATTGTAATTGAAACAGCCCTTCCATTAGCCATCGATAAGTTCATAAATAGACATTAATGTACTTCCTTTTAGTGTTACTGCTCCAGTGAAATATCTCAAATGAAACAAGTCTATACATCTTAATCATTCACACAGCAGGATTTACCTAAAGTATTTTCCTATCTTATGTAATCAATTTAATCGCTAATCATGTCTGGGAGGAAAATTGATATTGTTTTTAGTTTTTTAACATTTGGTCTTAAGGACTATTTTCATTAAAGGATAGTAACTCAAATTGTTTTTCTTTGTTCTAGTGACCTAGGTCCCTTTATCTGAAAACAAGACATTGACAAATTCTTCCTCTTGAAATATGGTTGATTTTTGCCTGAGACCAATATTTAAAGAGGAAGAATTTGTCAGTCTTGCCTTAGGATGGACAACAGTGCCATCTTGTGGTCGGTAGAAAGATGTGTCATGGTGGCCTGGCGACTATGGGGGCCTGACCTTGGTATTTTCCTAGGGTAGGGAGACAGGCCTGGAGCTGCTTCCCGGAGCTCAGTCTTTGGGGGGGGGGGGGGGGGGGGGGGGGGGGAAGGGAAAACTTGAAAACTTGAGACAAAGGAAGTATTGGAATCCCCAGGTATTGCTAAGCTGCCCCAACATGGAATGGAAAACATCCATGAGGCCTACAAGGAGGAGAGACAAGCAAATATTCTTGTTGTGCGATGCTGTAATAAAACAGTCTCACGGTGCTCTGCATTGCACAATATTCCTTATGTACATACACAGTTTTAAAAAGTGACACCTCAAAAATGCTGGAAGCAGGGCCTGCGTGACAGTACAGTGGACAGGCGTTTGCCTGCATTTGGCCGACCCAGCTTCAAGTCCTGGCATCTATGTGGTCCCCTAAGCACTGCCAGGAGTAATTCCTGAGTGCAGAGTCAGAACAACCACCCTCCCACCCCTGCAACTCCAAAACAAAATGCTGGAAACTTCCTATAAGCTGCCCATTTTGAAAATGCATGACTTTTTTTTTTTTTGCAGGGTGATCTATATGTAATTGTGATTTCTGTAGCCTTTGGGTCATTCTATTTTTTGAATCGGGTTAGCATATGAAATATCAAGACAACACTAAATTATTTTGTTCGATATTTTGATTAGAAAGCCTTGGCATCCTTCCTCCCATCCTCCATGAGGCATGCATTCTGCTATCCTGTTTCTGAGTTTGCTCAGGTGCTTGGGGAAAAAAATAGTGTGTTAGGGAGCAGATATTCCCCTTCTGTTTCTTTGCTGGATGACTTGCATTCTCAGTAAAATCTTTCATGGTCGACGTTACTTAAAACTAAATCTTTTTTTTTTTAAACTAAATCTTTTTAAACCAGTAATCAAGTACTTACATGGTCCTGACCTGAATATTAATTTAATTCCTTCAGCCCAATTTTCAGCCCAAATATTCATTTCTGTGAGGTAGAAATTATTGGTATTCTGTTAGCCTTATTTTATTGGATGGAAACCCAGGCACAGAGACTTAATTAATTTATAGAAGATTGCAGAGGTAGAAAATAATTGGGCTAGATTTCTATTGCAGCTATGGAGGTTGATTCTGGACATAGAGTTAATATATAATATATTACACATATGTAGATAATATATGTTTATTCTTACTTCTGCCCCCCAACAGCTTTGAGTGTCAGATAACAGATAATAAGTAAGACCAGGGCTTAATCACTTAATCACTTAACTTCCCGTTAGTCGTCGATTTGCTCGAGCGGGCGCCAGTAACGTCTCCATTTGTCCCTGTCGCGTGCTAGTGTAGCCCAATGGCATCTGTTCGCTCTGGGAACATGAAGGGCCTCAAACCGATCGTTCATGATCTTGACGAAGAAGTCTGACCATCTGGTAGGTGGGCAGCCACGCGGTCTTTTGACATCCCGTGGAATCCAATCAGTAACAGCTCTAGTCCAGCAGTCGTCTTTAAATCTCATTACGTGACCAGCCCATCTGATTTTCGACTTACAAAACACTACTGCTGAGCTATATCCCCAGCCTCTGTTTTATAAGACACACACGTATATATACATATACATATATATATATATATATATATATATATTTTGCTTTTGGTCACACTCGACAATGCTCAGGGGTTACTCCTGGCTTATGCACTCAGGAATTACTCCTGACGGTGCTCGGGGGAGCATATGGGGTGCTGGGAATCGAACCCGGGTTGGCCGCATGCAAGGCAAATGCCCTACCCACTATCCCTCCAGCCCAAGACATGTATTTTCATAAGAAGTCTGCTTGCACAGTTTTATCTGAAAGTTTCTGGTGACTCATCAGCCATAGTTTAAAGGTGGGCTCTCTCAGTTCTGGTCGCACACTGAATTGAATGTGATTCTGAGGAGCCAGGTTCACTCTGAGGCTCAGTAGGTGAGGGGAAGGGTGAACCAAAGAGGGTCTAGAGAAACCCCTCCTCCCAGAGTGGGAGGACCCATCTTCACCGTGCAGATGACTATATACCTCCAGACTACCCTCCCCTGACCCGGCCTTTCATCTCAGTGAGTTTGAGATTATAAAATGTTCCCAAACATACACAATCAGCATTTTTTTTCAGAATAAAATATATGCAGTGGAAATTCCAAGCATTTGGAAACGAAATTGAACCCAGCTCCACATACAAAACCTGCATTCCCATCTTTTTTACCAGCTCCCTGGTCCAAGAGAAGCTTTTGAGAAATCTCTCACTTGGAACCACATTCCAATTAGTTTTGCTTTTTTTTTTTTTTTTTTTTTTTTTACAACGATTAGGCCTGGGAACATAGCTCAATAGCTCAACAGGCTGAGTGCCTGCTTTGTTTGCGGGAGGCCCATGTTCAATCCCAGACACCACATGGTTCCCTGAGCCCACTGGGAGTGAGCACCAAGCGAGGAGTGGCTCCTGAGCACCAGTTGAGAGGAGCCAACATTTCTTTTAAGGAAGACGGGATTAGACTTGTTTGAGAAATCGCTCATTTTATCAAAGGCCTCGCAGGGAAGAATCCTAGAGGCTTGTAATGACCTTAATCAAGTATTAGCCCTGCCCCATTAATCCCCAACTCTATAAAAAACACTGATCTGTAAAACTGGGAAAGAACAGCAAAGGCCTCCTGATGAAGAGAAGGAAATTATTTGGAATCTCAGAGCAGAGCTGCAGAGCTGCCCAGGAAGAGACCAGGGCAAACAGAGGATGCAGTTTCAGTGTCAAGCGCCTGCGCTCAGAGAACAAAGTGACCCAATAAACGTCTCAATAGAGACAGAGAAGAAAAGGATGGGGTTTTCTGGTTTTGTTTGGAGGTCCGACCTGGCGATGCTGAGGGGTTACTCCTGGTTCTGTGCTCAGGATTTACTCCTGGCGGTGCTCAGGGGGAAGGCAGGAGATGCCGAGATCGAACCCAGTCGACCGTGTGCAAGGCAAGCAGCCTACCTGCAGTGCTATCACTCCAGCCCCTCCAAAAGAAAAAAAGAAAAAGAAAAGGAGTTTTAATTTGCAATTATTTCTCTGTCATTTTTCCAAACAGGACCAGAGCTTCTTCCTAGCCAGGCTGACCGTTTTGCCCAACACAGAGGCCATTGTGCAGGAGAAGAAAGATTTTCTACTACCCTGTGGTTCCTTGGGATGATCAACTCGAATTAGATGAACAAGAGGAAAAGGATTAATTTCCTAGATGGAGGGAATCCACAAGACTTGAGGATAAGGATCACAGACCTTCTTAAACTAAGGAAAAGGTTAGAGACCTGCAGCTACAGGTTTGGGCAAGTGGGGGAAGGGTCATTTACATGACAAAAAGCTTGAGTTTAGGCGATTCGATATTTACTCTGCAAGCTGTTTCTGGGAATAACCCCAATCCTGGGTAAAACACCAGTTTTCTTCCAAGGTAATTAAGGGCAAAGAAAGTTTCCCTTTCGTTGTAGTCTTCAGGTCTGGCCCTCAACTGCTTTTAGCTAGAAATAATCGACATTTGAATGACACATCTTCTGCAGTCCTGGCAAAAGCCTATTCTGAACCCCTTCGCTGCCAATATCCACCCCCTCAAGAGGAATATTAAAACTGAAAGGGAACACCTCTACATCTGCAAAACCACCCTGTATATTCCCAAATAAATAGTACCTAGCTATTAGTTACCAAGTCGAAGTAAAAACCGTGGCTGAGGCGCCTTTGGGGGGAAAAAAAATCATTCCCTTCCCAAAAGCCCCTAATAAAGTACAAGGACAAGCGACAACCAGGCTTCTCAGCAGAGAAATCCCTCTCTCGTCCCCGCCCGCCAGCCGGCCCACGGACCAATCAGAACACCGAAATGCTAATAAGAACGAGTCTGGCTCCGCCCCCGTGGTGACCTCACGCGAGCCAGCTCCACCCACGCTGGCGGTTTTCAATCAGGTCCGCAGAAGGGCTATTTAAAAGGCCGGCTCGCAGGCCGCTCGTCATTCCGGCAGCCACCATGTCTGGACGCGGCAAGGGCGGGAAGGGCCTGGGCAAAGGCGGCGCCAAGCGCCACCGCAAGGTGCTGCGCGACAACATCCAGGGCATCACCAAGCCCGCCATCCGCCGCCTGGCCCGGCGCGGCGGCGTCAAGCGCATCTCGGGGCTCATCTACGAGGAGACCCGCGGGGTGCTCAAGGTCTTCCTGGAGAACGTCATCCGCGACGCCGTCACCTACACCGAGCACGCCAAGCGCAAGACCGTCACGGCCATGGACGTGGTCTACGCGCTCAAGCGCCAGGGCCGCACCCTCTACGGCTTCGGAGGCTAAACTTCGGTTTGGCTCTCAGTTTCCCAAACCCAAAGGCCCTTTTCAGGGCCGCCCACAAAAGTCACGGAAGGGCTGTTGTGCGTTGTAAGAATCTTTATTTATTTTTTTTTTAATCAAAAACCACAATTTGTTCCTCGTCAGGCTTCACGGTAACGACGTTCTGCGGCTAGACAAAAGAAACGGTCTTAAGGGGCTGGTCTTGCACGCGGCCGGCCCGGGTTCGATTCCCAGCATCCCTTAGCGTTCCCCGAGCACCGCCAAGAGTGGTTACTGAGTGCAATACCAGTAGTAACCCCTGACCGGGTGTGATCCAAAAAGCAAAAAATAAAAAGAATCGGCCTCCAAAGTCGGGAGATGGGACCTATTCGGGTGCCTCCTTACTGGCTCCCGCGGCACAGCAACGTCCACGAAGCTCGTTGCGTATTGGCTGGCTCGGTTAGCTGGAGCCGCCCCAGAACTTGAGGGCTGCCTGTTAACCCTAAGCGTGCCGAACTGGCGAGGTTGAGAGGTTGAGAGGCTGGCTGAGGCTAGTCTGCGTTCCCCCTGGCCCGACAGTCCCACAACTGTAGGCGAGTCCGCAGTTTCCTGCATTAGGGCACAGACCAGCTCAAAGGTAAACTGGCCGCCGTTTTCAAGCGGGCTCTGGCGGCAGTTAATCATATGTAAATAGGTAACACTAGTGATTCTGCTGAGTCGTGGAGAACACACGTATGTGAAAAATGCATTTAGTGATGCATAAAGAATTCATTCAAAATAAATAATACTAAATAATTAATAAATTATATAATTTAATAAATATATAATGATAAATAATAATTCAAAATAATAAATAAAAGTGAATTTAGAATGATTTTAAAGAATGCCTTAACAAAGGGAAACAATTTTTTTCAAAAAGGAAAATATTGTCCTTATTTTCAGATAATATTTAGAATTTCAAAAACTCACCTAAAGGAAATAAAGAAGGCGGGGGTGGGAGTGGGTCGAGGTGGGGAGCAGGGTCAGGGAAGTCCTGGTCTGCTCAGGGGCGGTACCTGGAGGTATTTGGGGTCTCTATGTGGTCCTGCGATTTGAAATAGTATTGGTGAGGTGCAGGGCAAGCACCTTAACCCCTAAGAAAACAAACAAAAAATTAGGATCTGGAATCCTTGCTTGTAGGATGCTTGTCTTACATTACTACCCAAGTTTGATCACCCCAAGACTGATCACTGCTGGGTGTAGCTCAAAAATAAAAAATAGTAATAATTTTTTTAAAGAAAAAAAAAAGATGGTATAATTAGACCCCTGAAAATTTCCGGGGTTTCCAAATGAACGTTTTTCAAGCCCGTGAAGAGCAATCTGAATAAGCCTAACACTTCATAGAAATAACAGTTACAGTTAGAAGAAAGCAATTGTTATTAAAAGATCATCCAAAGAGTTCTATTGTGGGTGCCACAGCCACACCCTTGCTGTGCTGGTGGTGGGGTGGCCCAGGATAGGTGGACAGGATGGAAACCCAGGCCTCAAAAATGCCAGGGCAGGCCTGAGTCAGTAGTCTGGCTAGAAAACCCGGGTTTGCTACTTGCGAGTGGGTCCCGAGCCCTGCCAAAATAATCCCTGAGCTAAGAACCAGGAGTAAACCCTGAGCACCACCAGATGTGGTTCAGAAACCATTATCTATCTATCTGCAAGGGCATGGATGTGCAATGCCATAGAACGTACACTACCAGTCCCCAAAGCCTCTGTGACAAAGATCTATTAGCATCTCAACTATAGTACTTTGGAAATAAGGATAAATTAAAATATTCGAGCTAGAAAATTTCCAGTAAAATGGAAAATTTTATTTCTACCAATCACTCCCAATTGGAGATTTTTGTTGTTGTTAAACTACTAGAAACAAAAAGCTTCCCCTTTTCTGTGTGTTAGACGTCAGTAATATGACACTGATAAACATCCTCAAGTCAGGATGGTGGCACTAGGTACACACAGGTATGTTTGGCTTGGGTATAAGAGCTTTCCTGAACTGGCTAACACACAGGACCTGGTCAATTCTCAGGAGTGACTCCTCTAGGTTGCTGAGAATTGTAAAGGGCTAAATCGAGGCCCTACCTTCTCTATTATATGCATGCCTCCCAAAAAACTGGGGGCTGGAGCAATCGCACAGCGGTAGGGCGTTTGCCTTGCAGGCAGCCAACATGGTCAACCGGAGTTCGATTTCTCCGTCCCTCTGGGAGAGCCTGGCAAACTACCGAGAGTATCTTGCCCGAACGGGCAGATCTTGCCCGCACAGGCAGAGTCTGGCAAGCTATGCCAAACACAGACGTTACAGGGCCCGCTCGTGCAACGGGAGGACAGTGACAGTGACTCCCCAAAACTAAATCATTCCACACACACACACACACACACCCGTTGCTAATCTACACAAACGTGCCCATAGCCCCTTATAACACCGGTCACCAATGGGGATTTATGCTTTTTAGTCTCTAGCGCTGAGCCCTTTTAAGATGTAGGTGGCTCTTAAAAGAGCCTTTGGGTTCTTCGAAAGCCGACCCTTGGGGAAGGCCTCACTTCTCCCAGGCTGCCTCCCTCGGGTCAGCTTCTGGCTTACTGGGTCGGTTTGGGCTTTCCCCGCTTCGGCTTCTCAGTTCTGGGGGTCTTGGCTACGCTCTTCAGGCTGACCGCGGCTCCTTCGGTCTTATTGACACTCCCACGGGCTTTGCTTGCGGTTCCCCGCTTCTTGGCTCTCCTACTGGTCTTCATGCTCTTGGGAGACTTGGAATTCTGGGGTAACACCGGCTTCTTGGTCCTCGTAGCAGGAAGCTTCTTGCGCTTGGCCTTGGGGGGTTCCTGGCGGGCATTCTTGCCAGGGTTCATGGAGTTCTGGGCACGGGTGCGCTTGGCCTGGCCCAGGGCGTCTTTCTCCTCTAGGCTCCTGAGGCCCAGCTTGATGCGGATGTAGTTTCTCATCACGTCCAAGCCCGTGGACTCCAACACCTTCCTCAGCGTGGACAGAGACACGCGGACTCGTCTCTTGGGGACTGAGAGATCCTCGATGATCAGCTTAGACACAAAGGACCTCCAGGCATTCGGACTGGTTTTTGGATGCCCATCCTGTCTCCTCCTTCGCGTCTGGCCAGGTGCACTCCTCGTAGAAGCTGGAAGACCCGCCGGGCCGGTGGAGACCATCTCAACGCATCACAGAGCACAGCAAAGAATGGAAAAGGAAAAAAAGACCACCAGGATGCGTGGCTCAGAGCCTTATATAGAGCAGGGCGCGCTGTGATTGGTTTATCACACAGGCTCCGCCCTGCCCCTGGCAGAACCAACTTTTGTGTTTGTTTTACTCCCTAAAATTGAATCCCACAAAACCCCCCTGCACAGAATCACTTAGGTTCCACCGCTGCATGGTGGCTGGGGACTAACTTTACATGCTTTTTCCCTTCTTTCATGAAAACTTGCCCACCCTGCCCAAACTATAGGATAAAGGCCTCATTTTCTCAGCCAAATTCCAGAATAAAAATACTGGCCCTTTCCGTTATAAACTCAAAAGTCGTTCTTAGTAGGAAATTTATCGTTCTGAGGGGTCTCCAAGTGGACGACTAATCTTTAGCGAGGAAAATTAATAATTTGTTCACTGGTTTTTATTGGAGATTATTTATGCAGATGAGGAAAATAACACATTAAACATCTATCACCAGGGAGCTAGAGAATGCTTTTTAAATGACCTAAAAATGGGGGTAAAGCTCACTGGAAAAGAGTTTGCCATCTGGGTTTGAGTACCTAGAAATGTAAAGAAAAACAAAAAAGCCATAAAAATCCACCCAGTTTGATCCCCTGTAAGAGGCAGGAAGGACAGGCCCGATCTCTAACAGGTCTCTAAGATCTTGGGTTGGTGGGTGTATCTGCAGAACTGTGGAGAAAGGGCAGTTGGGAACAAAACAAAAGTTACCCAGGCTTGGTCCTAAGATTTACTTTCTTGAGAGGTAGGGATGGCAGTTGGATCATCAGAGGTAACTGCTGAGAGAGCAGTGGGTGAGTCAGAGTCCAAGGTCTCAGCAGAGGAAAATCCCCTAAAGAATATCTGTAAAATATTTGCAAATGCCTGAGTGAAAAATTTAACCAATTAACTTTACTCTGCAGAAGGAAAGCCTGCAAAGGACTAGATTTTTAACTTTTTTTAATATCTATTTTAATTAAAACAATGTGATTTACAAAGTCGTTCATAGTACATTTTTTTACCTCCTAAAAAAATTTTTTTACCTCCTAAAAAAAGCTTAATTACCTCCTAAAAATACTCGAGCAGGCCCAGTAACGACTCCATTAGAGACTTTGTTGTTACTGTGTCTGGCATATCAAATACATCACGGGGAGCTTGCCAGGCTCTGCCAGTATCTGCCGTGCGGGCGAGATACTCTCGGTAGCTTGCCGGGCTCTCCGAGAGGGGCGGAGGAATCGAACTCGGGTCGGGCATGTTGGCTGCGTGCAAGGCAAACGCCCTACCCCTGTGCTATCGCTCTAGCCCTAAAAATACTATCTCCTAAAAATACAGTCACTCTGCAGGCTGGAGCTTCAGTGTGAATTTGAAAGAGGGAGGGTCACATAATTCAATCCATAGCAGATGCCTTTTCCACAGAGTGGTTAGGTGGCTTGAAGGTAAGAATAGTTTTAGTTCCACACAACCAAACACATTCCAGCACAGTCCTGAGCACAGGATGTGCCAGATAAATATTAGCTTTCTGGTCTTAATCTAAGATCTGACTCATTCTTTGTATAGCGCCTTCCCAGAGAATGATTGCAACCAGGCTTACTGTTTTTGCAACAGTTAATTCTTATAAGGTCTTGGCTAAAAAGAAGAAAGAAAGAAAGAAAGAAAGAAAGAAAGAAAGAAAGAAAGAGAGAGAAATGGAATTTTAATGATTTTTTGTTTGAGCCTCTCAGAGTAATAATGCCTTAAAAATTCTCAATATAATGCTGTACATATTTAAATAAGAAAATAGTTAAACAAAGATGTAGGATGTGGCGGGGGGGGGGGGGGGGCTGGAATGATAGAACAATACGTAGGGTGTTTGTCTTGCAGGAGCCTGACTGGGGTTAGATCCTCGGCATCCTAGCCAGGCATCCCAGCCTGAGCATTGCTGGGTTTGGCACAAAAAATAAATATATCCAAAAACCCAAACACAAAACAACAGAAAAAAATGATTTATACATGAAGATGTATGATCTGTATGATCTATAATGCATTCAAATGGAGCATATAGTCTAAATAGCCAGTCACAGTCACGGAAGCTGTCCCAAGCGCACTGTGTGTGATTTCAGTGGCACCCAATCACCACTGGCCCAAGCACCACAAACCTAAGGGACAAGTTCCTTATCCCAGGGCAAGTGGCCCTAGGCACAGGTGATGCCCTTATTTTTGTTTTTAACTAGGTTTCTATCCACCACCTACAAAATCATCTATGTATGTATGTAGCATAAAACAAATTTGCTTTGCATTACTACATTAGGGGTGTATTATATCTGCACATCTATATATATGTCATATACACAAAAGACATGCTAGAGTTATTTTAATTATCTTTATATACTTTTACAAATTCCTACATTGAACACATAATATCATTATACTCTGAACAAAAGAAAGCATTGTAGCCAGGTTCTCTTTGATCCTCTCATGGTTGCATTTATCTCCATTTCTGTTCTAGAGTTGTCCTGTTCCACAGTTTTATTTGTGAGTCTTCGATGTGTCCAGCAGTGAGCAATGACAGGAAGAGACTTGTCTAGAGCCTTCTTACTTGTCCTGTTTAAAGAGAGATTGATTCATTAGTTCACTTCTCTAATTTATCAGCTGTCAATTCTTAGGACAATGATAATGGAGATGACCAATGTTCATTGGGTGCTTGTTTCATGCACGTGGTGTTTGTTCTAAGCAGCTATTGATATCAATGCATTTAATCTTGCCACAGCTTTAGATATAAATAAGGTTCTCCACACTTAAGTAGTTGAGAGTCCCAGGTGTTGGGTGGCACCTCTCTCTATGTGTACCCCTAAGTAAAGGAAGAATACACACACACACACACACACACACACACACACACACACACACACACACACACAGTGTCCTTTGCATTTCATTTGGGTTAAGTCCAAAGGGTGAGTAGGAGTTCTTCTGGAAGGTCATGAGAAGCAGTGACAGAATTTCACAAAGCAGACATTGTGAAAGGCCCTGTGCTGGGACTTATCTCAGGTAGAGTGCATGAGAGGGTGTGAGCCTTGGGGAGCTTCCTATAGTTAAAGACTTCATGTTAATCCTGCACAACCAGTCTACCAGATCTCAGGAGCCACCTTCTCGGGCCTGACTGATGAAGTCACCCATCGGTGCCTTTTAAAGATGTCAGATGAAGCATATCTAATAGAAATGTATCCTGTGAATGTTTAGTTTGTTTCCAGCGGGGTTCTAAGATGCATCCAGCTAGTAAGCAAAGACAAACCTGTTGTTCCCCAGGCATTCAAATCCCATGCGGGAGATGCACACAGGATTTGCTGATTGAGGACTTCCCTTGGGGATGATGAGATAGTAAAGTAGGTAAGGCACTTGCCTTGTACAAGGCTGACCTGGGTTCAATCCCTGGAACCACATAGAGTCCCCCAGCACAGCTTGGAATGATCCCTGAGCCAGGAGTAAGTCCTTAGCACTGCTGGTGTGACTCAAAAACCATTTTTAAAAATACTCTAAAGGCTGACACTCAGATGAGGATAAATAGTTTCCTTGACAAGTGTCCACACATGAGGCCCATCTGCAGACTCTAACTAGGTAATGGCCCCCGACAGGTGGCAGATCCACCACCCAGGCCAGCACTTGGCTATACAGAGCCTTTCACTTGTGCTGCATGTACTTGTCAAAGCAGAATCCTGTGGGGATTTAGGTCATTTGAACAGAGATCTGCCTGGAAGCAGAGCATGGTGGTAACAGGGGGTGAGCAAGAGGAACCCTGGAAGGTCATAGTCTGACTCTCCCAAATCATTAGTCATCTCTGCTGCCTTAAGGTGTGATCTCTGAAGGTACTCTAGGGTGTTTAACAGACTTAGTCTTCTTTCCAATGTATTTCCGTAAACCATTGCAGGGGCCGTCTTATTTATTTAATTTACATTACTTGGTCCCCAACACCACACAAGATCTTTCAAGACCTGCCAGGAAGTACTCCCGAGCACAGAGCCACCTCCTTCCCCTATATTTCTATCACTTATATATCTGTGTACTCCCCTGCCCTTCCCTTTTCTCTGTTAACTGCAGTGTGCCCAGGGTCACAGACTTGTGAGTACCCACGATGTCATCAGCAAAGTGGGGGTGAGATGTGGGCCAGTGTCAGGAACTGACGTCTCAGCGTCAAAGTTACAAAGCACAGGGGCTGGAGTGATAGTCCAGCGGGGAGGGCTTTTGCCTTGCATCCGGCTGAACCAGGTTCTATCCCCAGCACCCTGTATGGTCCCCTGAGCACCACCAAGAGTGATTCCTGAGTGCAGAGTTAGGAGTAATTCCTGTGCAGTGCCAGGTGTGACAAAAAAAATAAAAGAAAGCTACAAAGCACATGCTCTATCACTGAACCATGTGCCCATGCTCTGTGATTGTCTCAAGAACTGTTGAAAGGACCCCAAATGTAAGAACTGTGCTACAGGGTCCTCCCACAATCCCTACTGTATGCCCCCACTCACACCTCTCTTCAAAAACTCACACCTGATTGAGGGCAGTGATGTAGTCCTCGGAAGAGACAGGGCCTTAAAATACATCCTTGGTCACTGGCCCTTTGTGCGTTGTTATTTTATTGTGTAAGAAGAACAAATTTGGCGCCTATTGAATAGTGCTTAGGACAGTGCCTGGTACATACCAGAGTTAGGTCTGATTGCTGCATTAAGCATTATATTAATGTTAACATAAAAAACAAGACCCTCAGTCCCTCCTACCACCTTTCCCTTCTTATAAAAAAAACTATTTAAGAACTATTATTTGTGGTCTAGCTTTCCCAGCTGAGAGGTAGTATCCCCTTTCTTAGGTCTTTCCTAGACTGCCCTCATCCCTCTGTGCTGGACATTGTCACTGGATGACAGTGCAACCTCTAAAAAAAGCCAGAAGGGTAAGAGGAGAGGACGGAGGAGACCCAGACATGAGGGCTGACCAAGAATCTGCTGTGCATCCACAGCGTGTTCGTGTGCTTGGTGTTCCCTGTGTCCCTGGCAGGAAAGGTAAAGGTAAAGGCCCTCCCGTTGATCGTCAATTTGCTCGAGCGGGGCCCAGTAACGTCTCCATTGGAGACTTTGTTGTTACTGTGTTTGGCATATCAAATACTCTCGGTAGCTTGCCAGGCTCTCCGAGAGGGGCGGAGGAATTGAACTCGGGTCGGCCATGTTGGCCGCTTGTAAGGCAAACGCCCTACCGCTGTGCTATTGCTCTAGCCCTAAAAAGGTGCTAGCAGAGGATGGTTTCGACCCATCAACCTCTGGGTTATGGGACCAGCACGCTTCTGCTGCGCCGCAGGAAAGTGGCTGGAAATGCAAGTTCTGGCCAGAAACACACAGCATCTTCCTGTCCCCCTCCCTGAGACGTTCCTGCTCCTCTTCGTGTGCACTGGCCTCATGTGGAGGCTCCATGGAGATCCCCGAGCCTCAAGGATGCCTGAGGCAGACAGAAGGAGCCTGTGTCTCCGAAAGACAGTAGAGATGAGTCCCAGCTTCATTGTGATGGACATTGGATACTAGAGAGAGCAATGTCTAACATGAATACCCAAGCTCCTGAATGTGTTCCATGGGACAGCAAGAATGAGGCTTCTCCACTGAAGCGAATGATTGGCGTTCACAGTAGCGCAGACCCCCAACAGCCCATCTCACCCAGACCTTCATCCTGGAACAGGTCTCTCAGCCCAGCATTTCTCAACCCTGTGAAACCCAGGTAAATCGGGGGCCACAGCACAAGATTAAGGGAGTCAGTTGGTGGGACATGGTGGAGTAGAGGTGGGGCACAAAAAAAGAAATAAGGTCAGAAAAAGACTAAAAAGCATCATCAATCATCAGATGGCCTTCCCCCAAATATTTCAACTTACTTAGCCCTCATCATCTTTATGGAGCACTAAGGTCAGTCTGTGAGAAGCTATCAGTCAGTGCTGTAGAAAATGACGATTACCTAGATTAGAGTCATGTCTAGCAATAACCTTTTTTTATTTTATTTTATTTTGCTCTTTTTGGGTCACACCCGGCAATGCACAGGAGTTACACCTGGTTCATGCACTCAGGAATTACTCCTGGTGGTGCTCAGGGGACCATATGAGATGCTGGGAATCGAACCTAGGTCGGCTGCATGCAAGGCAAATGCCCTACCTGCTGTGCTGTTGCTCCAGCCCCAAGCAATAACCTTTTAATCAAAGAAATCTATCTAAAGGCAAAACAAACATTTAAGTTTTGTCAAATGAAGTCATCCCCGCCTCCTTTGACACGTGAATCCCCTCCCCTTCTGTTTCCTGAGCCTCATCCCATTTGGTTAGCTCAGCAAGGGAGACTTCACTTTGCCCCCAGATGCTTCAAAATTTATATCCAAGTAAATTCTCCAGATGTTTGTCAATAAATTTTCTCTTTCCTCCTAATCTGTCAGATAATCCGGTATTCAACTCGCCTGAGAAGAACCCCACGGGGTAGAAGGCTATCCCCTTCAGTCACCAATGACCAGCAAACGTCCCTTAGCAAAGGTGCAGAGTTTCAAAGCTATCACCACCTGAGCGCGCTCCCTTGAGCATCTCAAATATCAGGGTCTCCACTCAGCAGTACATTCATTGCCCCAGTTACCTGCACTCACGCACACAGTTGCTCCTCAGTCCTCCTGCTCTGCATTTGTTTCTTTCTCTCCATGACACTCTCCTTCTAACCAGGCAGATGGTTGACTTTTGTCATTGTTTTCCTGCCCCAATTTACTGGAGTCCTAGCAATCTGACAGCAGGGAATTTGTGATTCTTTTCACAGACTCCCTGGTGAGGGGTATGGTGTGGGGACACAGTGTACATGAAGGTCTCGCTAACAGGGTTCTAAATCAAAGTACCTCAATTAAAATAGAGAAAAAAACAACCGTGGCAGAAATTTTGTGTACCTACTGTATGCCAGACTCAGTACCAACCCCTAGGGAATCTGTGGGGATCAAATCGGAGCTCAGGATCAATTAAAAGTGACACATAGATGATGATTTCATGGAGCCATTAGGAGGCTTGATTAGAAAAAAAACTGGAGCCAAGGTTTAGCACCAAGGATGCCTGTGGGGGGAGGAGGAGTTCGAAGGGCAGAAGGTGGAACATCAATGAGGTGAGGCCCAGAGAACAGGCAGGATGCTACAGACTCAGAGAGATTAGGTTTGCCAATCTAATCAAATGAACTCACATCTCATCCAGTATTGGTACACTGTGTACTTGTTGGAAAGATAGATTTCATCCAACAAAGTTTTTTTTTTTTTTTAAAAAAGAGAGATATAGACCAAGGGGAAAGAGCAATGTTACAGATAAACTTAGACTATGACTTCATGCTTGGACACTATTTTCAGTAAGGGAAATGCACAATCTGTTCTTGCAGAGATCATGAAGGGCTTTCAATGAAAAAAAAAAAAAGTGTCATCTCTAGGAACTCTGGCGCTTGGTTTTGAAGGCTAAGGACAGGCTGTCTCTGGAAAATCTGCCACCTGCCCTCTCCAGCTCGGCACCATTTCTGGCACGAGAGATTTCAACTCCCCCACTTGGATCGAGTTTCTTAAGGAGTGAGCCAGCCCGTGTG